GCACTAAATGCTACTTTTTGCGTTTTCTCTCCAGTGTGTGTAAACATTTAATTGACCAAATCTGGCTTCCGTGAAAATGCAGATCCACAAAATTCACAGGAATAACATTTCTATCCAGTGTGTGTACGCATATGTTTCACCATATTTGATTTTTCTGAAAATGCAGAACCACAAACTTCACAAGAATATGGTTTCTCTCCAGTGTGTGTACGCATATGTTTGATCATATTTGACTTCATTGAAAATGCAGATCCACAAACTTCACAAGAATATGGTTTTTCTCCAGTATGTGTACGCATATGCTTCACCATATCTGGCTTTCGTGGAAATGTTGATCCACAAACTTCACAAGAATATGGTTTCTCTCCAGTGTGTGTACGCATATGTCTAACTAAATGCGATGCCTCTGAAAATGCAAATCCACAAACTTCACAAGAATATGGTTTCTCTCCAGTGTGCGTACGCATATGTTTGACCATATTTGACTTCTCTGAAAATGCAGATCCACAAACTTGACAAGAATATGGTTTTTCTCCAGTGTGAGTACGCATATGATTGACCAAATCTAACTTCCGTGAAAATTTTGATCCACAAACTTCACAAGAATATGGTTTTTCTCCAGTGTGTGTGCGCATATGTCTGACCATATTTAACTTGTCTGAAAATGTAAATCCACAAACTTCACAAGTATATGGTTTCTCTCCAGTGTGTGTACGCATATGTCTCACCAAACATGTTTTCCATGAAAATGCAGATCCACAAACTTCACAAGAATATGGTTTCTCTCCAGTGTGTGTACGCATATGTGTCACTAAATGCGACTTCTGTGAAAATGCAGATCCACAAACTTCACAAGAATATGGTTTCTCTCCAGTGTGTTTACGCATATGTCTAATTGAATGTGACTTGTCTGAAAATGCAGATCCACACACTTCACAACAATATGGTTTCTTTGTAATATGTGTTTCCATCTGGCCTATTATGTCCGACTTCACAACAGTTTAGCAGAGGTCACACGAATACGGCCTATCTTTCCAGTTTATTCATCGATAACACTAAATTTGATTTCTGTAGAATATAAACACATTTCAAATAACATTATTCCTTGCATGGTAAAGTTCACTGTCATGCTTTTTACAATGTAAATCCCTGATATTCACATGTAGCATATATTTGTGTTTTCAGCAATATCCAGTGTTTTGTGTACAGCTGAAACATCTGTAAATAAAAAAAAGCATAAATGATATAATAATAGGGTCAATAAATAATATTATGAAACATATATGTAATTAATATTATTTCAATAATGCAGTGACAATGAAGACCAAACATTCTGCAGTGAATGAAAATTCCTTCACAATTTCCTCATAAGAATTGGATGCAAATTTTTTTACATATCCTCCCACCATACTTAATTTCATGAAAATAAATTTTCTTTCCAAAACTTTTTTATTAGTTAAAAGAAGGAATCTTGGAAGAATGTAAATTATCAACTTTTTCTTTTTTCAAACTCCTCCTCATTTGCAGAAAATCTGCTCTGAATCGTAAACAAAAATTGCAATAAAACTGACATTATTTAATTTACATCTCAACAGGCTTTGCACACAGTGGCGTAGCTAGAGTAAACGTCACCCGAGGCGGTCCGCTCAAATGTCACCCTAATGACCCCGATTCACCCTATGCTGAAAGGTTAGCTGTAGCTAAATTTTCATAAACGCTCTACCTCTACTTTACTCTACTGACAGGTACGTTACTGTTTACATGGTATGATCCAAGACAAAATCCAATACCACAAAATAATCAGTTCAAATCAAAAGATTTTTAAAATGCAACTGTTCACTTTCAGAACAACTAAATACAAAACACGGCAATACACAAAAGAATGACATTCGATACTATGGTCTTAGAATGAATGTTTTCTTATTTTCATTGTGGCAAACTGGTCAATGACATCGTCAAAATCTGTTTGTGTTGTAAGCTCATTTTCAATGGACACCAGAGCCAGATCCGACAGCCTCAAATGCCTCTTGGTTGACGTAATTTACTGTTGCTAATTTTCCAGTGTCCAATTTTCCGTTGCATCATTTTCAGAAACCATTTCAAAGATAAAAATATAACACTATAGTAGGCACCTCTACTTACTTGCTAAAAACAGCATGGCATGATGAAAAAAGGTTGAAAACTTAATAAAAGCAGTTTTATTGTCAAAATGTTTTTATTATCAAGAGAAAAAAAAAAAACGAAAGTATTTTTTTCATTATTTTAAATTTTTTTAAAACCTTTCTAACACATTCGAATTTTTGGTTTCTCTGCATTTTTCCATTGAAAAACACATTGATTTGGAAATTCTTGCAAAAATCAAATGATTGTCACATTTTAATGAAACTTTCAAGAATGAATGAAATTATTTTTCAAAACTTTCTTTTAGAAAAAGTTGGTAAAAACATTTTTTTACATATGTTACGTCCACACTTACTTAATTTCATGAAATTTCTAGAAATTAAAACTTCTTTCCAATTTTTTTTTTTTATTAGTTAAATGTAGGACTCCTTGGAGAAAGTAAATCATTTAATTTTTTTTTCAAACTTTTATTATTTGTACTGAAAATCTGCTCTAATTGGTAAACTGAAAATGTAATAAAGCTATCACATTATTTAATTAGAAAAGCTTTTAATTGTTTCTGTAAATATGTTATTAAGGACACTGTTGTCTTAAAAGAAAAAAAATTACAAGAATTTTTTCATTTCTTAAAAATTTAATTATAAGAATTTATAATAATTCAAAAATCATTTAAAATTCTGTATTTCTTTTAGTTTTATGTGATATTGTACTTAAGTGGAAACCATATTTACAAATCAAAAATAGAAAGCTTATGTCATTTTACTACAATATTTTTAAAATAATTTTTATTTTCTTACTTCATTTCCATTTTTCATCTATGAGAGCCCATATGTGTCATTATAATAAAAAGATCACATGTTGTAAAATTTGTCCTCCACTTTCCAGAGAAATTTGCTTATCAGCAATTCGTTATTCATTTACGTGTTTGTTTACTGTCTACGTCTCAACTTTAAAATTTAAAACAAAAAGTTATTAAAAATATAATAGTAAATAAAATACCATAACATTTCATAAATTATTGAGTTACCTCTATGATGGTATTTCAATTTCATAAGTTATTAAATTCTAAACCTAATATAAGAAAATTTTAGTATTTTTAAATAATTTTATTATTTTTTATAAAGCATTTTCAAACGTAAATAAAAGTCAATAAAATATTAGATAATTGCTGAAAATATGTTAATTTGTAAAAATTACTAGCTAGGTAACCCCCACCCTACAAAAAAAAAGAAATGTGATTACTTCGTTTCTGTAAATTCATGTCAATAATTCTGGTCATCCATACTAAATATCAACTAACACCTCGGAGCTCATCGATAACATCAATAAAACATGAAAAAAAAAAAAAAACGTAAAAACAAGGCCTGTCGTTAAGAAATGCTTGGATACTACTTTTCTTTCTTTCTTTTTTTTTAATTAAGGTAAGCAATATTTGATTTTACCTTTTTGCTAATTTTACTCAAAACACACTCGAAGTCGAAATATATATTTCAAAAATTTAATATACTGTCTCCGGGATGCGTGTATTTCGTTGAAATGTACACAACCCTTAGACAATTAGCATAAACTCTCATCGACAATCAAGACTCTGAGACATGGTATGTTTTAGACACAGGTTTATTGACAGTCGACAAAGGTAAAACTGAAAGAAAATAAAAACACGTTTCTTCAGAAATACAAAATGGTGAGTATTTACTAAGACCTTAAGTAGTTGTAGGTACGATAAGCTTACAGAATAGAAGCATTTGAACATAAAAAATACTCATAGAAGAAAAAGAATACAAAATATGCTGAGTAACAGTCAAGTTCCGAGAGGAAAGATGGAGGTTCCGCACGTGGTGAGAAGGTAAACAAAGTTCGTTTAAGGAAGGAAATGATACTAAAAAATAATGCTTGCATTAAATAATTCCATAATAGGAAGGAAGAAAGGCGATAGTTCTTACCGGAGATGTCCAAGAATGACGAGATATTTAAAGGATGAAAACTATGCCATGCGGCCAAGCTGGGGGCAGCTAAACTAGATAGAGGCTGAGCACCGGGAACCTTCAACCGGTGTAGGGTCAGAAAGAAGCCCCCAAGCAAAGGGGCCGATAAAGGGAGATGGGTGCTAGTAGGTCTGTTGTACACAGAACAGAACACTCCCCGCCTGACGTCTTGGACTCAAGGAATGTGCTAGTTCTCGTCACAGAGAAGGACAATCCTGGCAACGGGTCTGAGGAGGTGTTTAGTTCACTCAGTTCGGTTGCCAGGAGGGCGGCACAGAGCTCCAGTCTGGGAACTGAATGTTCGGGGTCGTGGGGATTGAAGTTTCGCTTTCCCCGTGACGAAGCCAATTTGGTTGTTTCCTTTATCGTCGGTGACCTTAAGATAGGCCACTGCAGCGATGGCTTTGGTCGATGCATCGGAAAAGATGTGCAGCTCTTTATGTACTGCTTTTGAGAGTGGTATGTTTGTGAAGGCCCTAGGGATTCGGACCTCGTTTAGCGCTTCCAAGGAGTCTCTCCATGAAGACCAGATTTTGTGCATTTCTTGAGGAAGAGGTGAGTCCCACTCGCTGTTTTCAATAAGACATGGTTAAATTTTAGACAGTCAATGGTTAGCTCTCTCAAGATTAACTTTCCTTGAATGGTGACGGGGCAGCAAATCCCAAGGGGTCATACAGACTGTTGAGGGTCGATAAAACGCCCCTACTTGTAAAGGGTCTTTGTATCGCAGGTTTCTTATCAAGGCTACGTCTCGGTGAAGAAAGTCGACTCTCTGCCAGTTTCCTGTTATATGGGAGACGACGTCGGGGAGATCTAAAGGGTAGAGGAGCGACCCAACTGTTGTCTTTGTCTTTCTCAGCTCCCAGTTCCATAATGTTCAGGAAGGCAATATCTTCAATAGAAGGCGCCGCCCTTGGTCCGTTGAAATAGGTGGTCTTCCATCTCGGTGGAGTATGGTCTCTTGCTGATGCCGAAGCTCTCTTTAATTTCGAATTTGTTCGGGCACGGTTCGAAAAGGGTAGGGCGTCCCCCATCGGATATATGTGTATGCAATGTGTTTATTATGGTGGGTGGGTGAAATTTCCCTAAACAGACATTGCCGACTATGACCCATCCTAGGTCCAGTTTCTGTGCATATAGGGCATCGTGGGGGCCGTTTATTTGTTGGCGCACTTTGTGTACCCTTAGAATGTCGCGCCCCAGAAGGAGCATTATAGGAGTTTTAGGCTCCACGGTGGGGATGAGGTGAGCTATTTTTCTCAGATGTGGGTGGTGGAGGGCTGCCTCAGGAGTTGGGATGCCGGACCTGTCGTTGGGTATTTTGTCGCATTCGACGAGACTTGGAAGTGGAAGGCTGTTTTTCCCGTCTAAGGATTCCACCTGGAAGCCTGACGCTCTTCTTCCCATGGTTTGTATAACTCCGGCACAAGTTTTAAGGGAATAGGGGAAACTGGGCCCATCATTTTTAAATGTGTCAAAAAAGTCTGAGCGTACCAAAGACCGGTTGCTTTGTTCATCGATGATGGCGTACATCCTCACTGCTTTGGCTGGTTGGTCTGCAGGGTAAACATTGACGAGGCATATCTTGGAGCACGACTTTTCTGAGAGGTCACCACCGCAAACTTGTGTGCACTGCGAAACCACTCCAGTAGCCATAGGGGGGTTATCCTCCCCGCCGTTCTCTGCAGCGGATCTTATGCTGATGGGCCAAGGTGGTGGTCCTGGATGGAGAGCAGTGTTGTGTTCTTCACTGTTACACTCATTGCATGTAATATTCATTCTGCAAAATTTCGCTATGTGTGCTGTGGAGGAGCAACATTTGAAACAGATGCCATTGTTTCTTATAAAAGTCTCACGCTCTTTCAAGGGTTTCTCTCTCGAAAGGCGCGGCATTTCAACAGTGAGTGGAATTTTTTTGTAATGGGCAATATTGGGTGGGGTCGTTGTCATCTTTGTTTTGCCGACGCGTGGTGTTGAAAACTGTGGGGACACTTCGGTCTTATTCACCGATACCACCCTTTGTTTGCTCTCTTGTGAGGGGAACCTACCCACCAGTGAATTGACCTTGAAACTTGGATCATTTTTATCCTAGCTTGTTGTGTAATAAAGTTTACAAAGACCTTAAAAGGAGGGAACGTAACTTGGTGCCGCTCCTTATATTCAGAACCAACAGACAGCCATCTGTCCTGAAGTGAGGATGGTAGTTTGGTTATAAAGGGGCGGAGCCCTCGAGCAGTGTCCAGGTAGGCGAGGCCAGGAAGGTTTCCATCTTCCCTAGCTGACAAGAGTTCGGTAGCTAAATCGCTGAGTTCCCTAAGTCTAGGAAGATCGTTGTTTGACAGTCTGGGGAAGTCATCTACTCGTTTGAAGAGAGCATCCTCTATCATTTCAGGAGCCCCGTAACACTCCTCGAGTCGGGCCCATATTCTCATGAGCCCTCTTTCTGGGTGGTTCAGGTGGGCTGACCTTAGCCTCCTCGCATGTTCCCCTGACTCTTTACCAAGCCATTTTACGAGAAGGTCCATTTCCTCGCTGTATGTGAGACCGAGGTGTCTGATGGCACTCTGGAAAGACCGCTTCCATGCTCTGTAGTCTTCAGGTCTATCGTTAAAAGGTGGCAGTCCAGTAGTGATGAGTTCCCGCCGGGTGAAGTACCTCACAAGGTCTGAGGTATATTGAGACTGGGAGGCGTCCCTGGTGTTGGTGGGGTACCGGTCGTTAGGAGGTTTGGTGTCTTCGACACGTGAGTTAGGGGAGTGATAGCTGATAATAGGTGGGGTTGTCTGGGTAGGTCTGTCTGGGCTCCCTGGCCTATGAGGGAGAAGTCTCCATGTTCAAACCGACCATACTGGTATCCCTGAACGATTTGTTCATTAAGAGGTGGTTGGGGTCCAGTCATCTCTTGTTTCCGTTGGCTTGCTTGGTCGGCTAGGGACCCGTGTGCTAGGGTCAGGGGAGTGCAGTCGAGTTTTGAGTGGTTGCAGCTGGACCGTTCTTTTTTAGCTCGTCGGCAGCTTCCTCAGAACTTCTGCTTCAGCTATGGCAGCAGCCGTCTCCTTTTCAAGCTGTAGTTTCTCCAACTCCATCCTTATTTTTAGCTCCTTGTCGATGAAAGCTAAACGTGTTTTGGCTGCTTCAGCCCTAGCTTGGCGATAGCAGCAGCAGCCGCCGTAGACGATCTGCTGGAAGACCGAGAGTAGCGGGAGGCATGAGTCCTTGACCGATTTGACACGTTGTCTGCCATTGTTGAGAAAAAGGATGATTGGTGGTAGAAGAGAGGCCGAAAGAATAGCTTCGTTATATTGAGGATAGTTTTTTTTCAAGCGAACTGTGTGACACTACTGTTGTTGGTGTTGCGTCCGTAGTTCCGACGGTTGGTGTAGACCACGAAATATCCGACCATTAGGGGGGCCTCCGTTTTACTATACTGTCTCCGGGATGCGTGTATTTCGTTGAAATGTACACAACCCTTAGACAGTTAGCATAAACTATCATCGACAATCAAGACTCTGAGATATGGTATGTTTTAGACACGGGTTTATTGACAGTCGACAAAGGTAAAACTGAAAGAAAATAAAAACACGTTTCTTCAGAAATACAAAATGGTGAGTATTTACTAAGACCTTAAGTAGTTGTAGGTACGATAAGCTTACAGAATAGAAGCATTTGAACATAAAAAATACTCATAGAAAGAAAAAGAATACAAATTATGCTGAGTAACAGTCAAGTTCCGAGAGGAAAGATGGAGGTTCCGCACGTGGTGAGAAGGTAAACAAAGTTCGTTTAAGGAAGGAAATGATACTAAAAAATAATGCTTGTATTAAATAATTCCATAATAGGAAGGAAGAAAGGCGATAGTTCTTACCGGAGATGTCCAAGAATGACGAGATATTTAAAGGATGAAAACTATGCCATGCGGCCAAGCTGGGGGCATGCCATGTGGCCGTGCTGGGGACAGCTAAACTAGATAGAGGCTGAGCACCTGGAACCTTCAACCGGTGTAGGGTCAGAAAGAAGCCCCCAAGCAAAGGGGCCGGTAAAGGGAGATGGGTGCTAGTAGGTCTGTTGTACACAGAACAGAACATTTAATATGTTTTATTTTTTGAGAATTTTTTTTTAAACCGTTAATTTTGCTTTGTTTACAAATTTCTTAAAAGTGAGAAAAAGCTGTAAAGTTTGTAAGATTTTTTAAAAGCGAGCATTCCAATGTATATAATTTCTGATTTAAATACACTACAGAGTATTTTGCTTCCTTACTATTAGTATTTTAAAAATTAAATTTAATCATTAGCATTCAATTAAAGCTAAAATAAAATCTTCAAGAATGCTTTTTCATTTTTAAAAATTCATTTTAATTCCTATTTAAAAATGTTTTAGAATTCTTTCATTTACCTTTCAGACGAGAAAATTCAACGAGAAAAACAAAATCGTCTGATTTGTTTGTGTTTTCAAATGATTTCCTTGAGATTTCTCCTCAGTCAACCGACGACTCAAGTTTTGTATTGTTCGTTGAGTTGATATAATAATGTCGAAGTTGTAACGAATGTGACAAGGAAAGAATTAAGAAATGGAAAAACTCGAAATTACTTTGTTTTTTTCATACAATATTTCGCTTGATAATAACAGACGAACGCAATGTGGCGGTATTAGACAAGATGTGGTTCCTCGTGTTTAAAAATCCTTAGATTTCTTGGCATTCAACAATAAATGCCTGTTGTTTGTTTCTGGCAGCCGACAGTGCCAAAATGCCGAATCTATGATACGGGGCCTCTATATGTTGCCATTCTGTCAAGAGGTTGAGAATACACTTTAATAGGTGAAGAGGAAAAACACAAAATGAATAATCAATAAACATTTTCTTTTAGATAACTAAAAGATTCCCCTTCTTGAATGGTATGAAACTAAACACGTTCTCAACATATATTGTTTAGTTTACCAATAAATAACATGGTGATTAGAATAATTAGTCGACCAACTAAGTTTTATTGCATGTGTTCAGTCAAAAGTAAAAATATTAAGAGCAATAATGAATGTAACACTGGTTCATGTACTTGACAATAAATGAACATTAAAAATTTCATGTTTAAGAGAAAAAATACAACATTCATCTCAAAAGAATCTAATTCCATTCTCTTTATTTGAATAATTGAAAAAATTATCAGAATAGCTTCATATATTATTTTATAAGTTACTTAAAAATTACATTATCAGCTGAACTGATCACAAATAAAAAAAAAAACAAAAAAAAAAACACAGGAGTTGGGGTGAGGCTGTGGTGTATCATGTCTGGTCACTATCACATCCCTATTACCAGACCCCCACCGGATTGAGGCAAGTTTATTAATCAGATTATTACTACCAAAATAGAACAGAAAAATAGAATTACAAGAAAATTCTACAGACAATTCCGCCTTTTGAGTACTAAAAAGCTGTGTGATCTTGTTATGAATGCAGGAATAAAAGACCCTGAATTCATAAAGATTTTACAAGAACTTCCTAATTCATCTGAAATATACATTCAAAACAAATTGAATGGACCATGGCCCATTGTTGGATTCTCATCAAGATCAGATTTTAAAGACAGCATTGTCATGGGCATAAAAGAAATTAATGGAAAACATATTGCATCTAATTGATTATGATACAGTGTTGGAGTCAGGATTTCTGCTAAGGAAGGTTTTTGTGATATATTCACACACTGGATAGCATATTTTGGCACTTCAGGATTTAACACACTGATAATGGCAGGGAGTTCAATACCAATTGTGTAGGTACATGGCACAGAACTTGAATAGTGTAGTATGCACTACTGCTGCTGAAAATCCATGGAGCAATGGTTTGAATGAATGACATAATGGGATTCTGGGAGAAATGATGAAGAAAACCATTGAAGACACAAGTTTTAGTTTTGATGTAACACTTGCATGGACCATAAATGCCAAAAATACACTTCACAGTGTCCATGGTTATTGTTCTAAGCAACTTGTTTTTGGCAGAAATCCCAACTTGCCATCTTTTTTAAATGACAATCTATCAGTGAAGCTGTTGCAGATTACCTCAATGCAATGCACGCTGCCAGGAAACATTTCATAGCATGTGAGTCTTCAGAAAAACTAAGATGCATAATTTATCATCACTTTATAACCAAGTTCGAACAAATATAATTCAGCCATGCAAAAATGTTGATACTTTTCTCTATAAAAGAAACATATGTGACAGATGGCTTGTTCCTGAAACTGTCATAGGGTTGGATCATAAGCAGGTACATGTTAAACATAGTGGTACATATAGGTGAGAGTTAATCCATCCCATTTAGTCCCCTACGCTGAAGCATATCAAAGTTTCTAGGATGGCACAATAATGGAAAAGACGTCAAAACCTGATAAAACTCCAAAAGTATCAATTTTTGAAAAGAATGATACAGATGTAGAAAGCCCAAATTAAAATATTGAAGAACATCAGATTGTGACAACAAGGAGCAGACAACACAAAGAAAACTCTATTCATAAGTAAATTGAGCTCCTGAAACCAAGACAAACTATTAAATGCCAGGTTGCCAATGATGATGATTCAGAATTAAGAAAATTGAATATCTTCAGTAGGGCAGGCAAAACAAGTATAAACAAACACTTAATGAATGTCATTATAGAACAAGTTGAACCCTTTTGGCAGGACTCTAAACATGGAGTATCAGAATGGCAAGCGATTGGGGTCGAGCAAACAAGATGAAAACACTTCTTTTGATGAGGAAAACAATTATTATAAAATGATGGTCTGGAAAATGCAAGAAAGAAAGAACTCCTTAAATTTAAAAACTAAACTTATATACAAATTCTTGGCCAAGGTCAAATTAAAATATCCACAAGATGAGTTTTATACTTATAAAAATTGTAATGGTAAACAGATTTGTAAATCTAGACTTGTATCTCAAGGCTTCCAGGATAAAGATGCTTGCAATATAAGGATTCTCCCACCTGCTCTAAAAAAGATCTACACATAGCATTGGGAATAATGGGATCTAACCATTGGATGTGTAAATCCATGGACATAAAAATCGTGTATCTACAGAGTACCTGATACTCAAGGATGAATTAATTACATTAGGAACAGGAATTTCAAAATATAACCATGCAATATTTACAAGAGTAACTCAACACAACCTGTATCTACATCTGTCTCGTCTTTGACTTGTGCCTGAGGAGTCAACTGTGGAACAGTTGCAATCCTCTTCATCTACTTCTAAATGAAAGCAAACTTTTCTCAAGTAGTGACTCACAAAATACAAATCGCTATGCTTTTCATGTACTGTGACTTTGTACAAAATATAACAAACTGACTGATTTCAATTGAATGTGTGGTGGATTTTTCATTTTGAAATTGCTGACATTTTTTTATTTTAGCACAATTTATCGCCATTTTCATTACAATAAAACTAAATATATTCATCACGATATAATAATATTAAAAATGTTCTAAAAATAAAATATACTTTTCTGAAATTTTATTGGAGGGGAATATTAGCTGATTTAATGCTTAATAATCCGAGTTGAAACAAATATTACGTTAAGTTTAAAATATCCCTGCAAAAAGATGCTAACATTTCCCATGTTAATCTTTGGTCTGTCTGATGATGCAAGGTAAACAAAATTCTTAACCAAAATTTCAATGTTAAAAAAATGAAATATATATATATTTAATTTAAATCAATTGTAAATGTTTATATGTATCTTGTTTGTATTTATTGACTTCCATAGAAACAGTGGAAGTAAGGGGAGGAAAAATGAGTGCACTCAAGCATTAGATTGAGGTGTTTGGTTGATTCCAATCTGTATTTGAATTATTTCCAATAGAAAGCAAACTTTTCTCAAGTATTGGCTCACAAAATAGAAATGGCTACATTTTCTACATGAAAACTTTATGTACTGTGATATCTGTACTAAATATAACAAAACAGACACATCTACATAAATCAAACAAATGCAGCATACAAGATCTTGAAGAAATCTTGTATGGAGTAACTGTTTTTCTTTGGTTTCCAACACTTTTGAATTTTGTGTAACTTGCAATGAATGAATTAATAGTAGTAAATGGAATATTCAGTTTGTCTGAGATTTTCCTGTAACTTTTACCTTCTTTCCAGAGCTTAGCAATCAGTTCTTTTTGTGAATTTATCAATTCTTTACCTCTTGCCATGATGATAACCTTCTTGTACGAATATCAATTACAGAATGGTCTCTTTGTATTTTTTAGGCAAAAATACTAGTGATAACATTAGTAGAACATTGTAGAATATTTCACTTGAATAATCTAGATTGTTAAAGCAATTTAAAAGTTTTAAAATATAAAATTTGCCTTGTATAAATAATTTTTTCACCTATTAAAATGGATGAATAAAATTTGTCGTAAATGAAATTATTTCTGCTTTCTATACATATTTAATTATTATGCATCTGTGTATAGCTAATTATATGCAGATTATGTTTATTCATTAGTTGGAAATACAATAATATAGTAAATTTAAAGCCAAAGTACCAAAAATTCAATAAATCATTAGATTATATATTTTGCTAAATTTAGAAGATTACTGAGTACTTGAAAATTATATAAAAAAAGCACTCACATCTTTTGCTTCAATTATATTTTATGAATAAAGTCTCTGTAGAATATTATTAGATCTCTCATCAAGCTGTCAAGACATCAAAACAACTACAACAATTTCTTCATAGGCTAAATCCCCCAACATGTACATCTTGGTTTCTATTAGAGATGATCAGTTTATAGGTGAACTCCAAGAGGACTAGCAGAACGTCTGTAACTCACCCCACCCTACACGCAAGCCACCATTCTACCAATGGGTGGCATGCCACTAGAGTTTAGTGCTGGTGGCCTGCTGCCGAACTGCTGATATGTTCATCTCGGCAATGTTACCAAAGTGGAGCGCGAGAAGCCTACCGATGGCCTGTCGGTGGCCTACCGGTGGCTGCCACCAGAGGACCGCTGGCGTTTTCATCGGTGGTTTGTGTGTAGATACCTGAGAGTTGACAAAGTCCTAGAAACAGTGCAAGATTACAAGTAATTTACGGTA